TCTTGCAGTAGAAAAGTAACATTTTAAATTGAAGAGACAAAAAATACTCATTTGTACAGGTGTATGTCCAGTAACCCGATACTCTGAATGGAAACACTTGTGAAATAGAGCATCATTATTTTCATGAGGAAAAGATGAGTCTGTTTCATGAGGATTATTTGAGAAAGAAAGGGAAAAATGAGGTGAAACCAACTAGAACAGTTTAAAATGAAGTAACTTCAATGTCAGTGCATTTTTCAGCAACCAGAACAGAACTATTAACTCAAAAAAAAAAAAAAAAAAAAAAAATCAAATGTGAGAAAACCAAATGAGTTTAAAATGTTGAAAAGTCATTTTTGAAGGAGACTGAAAAAACAGAGGTACTAAAGAGGCTTCACACAGTGCTGCTAGAAGTGAATAAAGAAAACAGATTCCTGCTACAAAAGGAATAACTATATTGTTTCTTTTAATGAGGCCTTCTGGAACTACACTGATAACTGAAAAAGCTGTTAAACACAACTGGTAACTGCCTGAATGGTATCACCTTTGGCGAAGGACCCCTAAGTTTATTGATGTCTTTGAAAGAGAGAGAGCAATTAAAATTTGCTATTCTGTGTGGCCATCATAGAATCAAAATGCAGCGCTGAGGTGTATAGACACAGGAAGACAGCAAAGAACTTGAAAATATAATCAAAGATATCAGATGTACATATACTGGGGCTACAAAAAATCACCAGGATCACTTAGTGATCAGTAAATGAATGCAACATTTGGAGGTGGCTAAAACCAGCTTCAGGCATAATAAAGAGAGCAAGGAACATGCATTCAGTTTTTAAAATTCAACATCGGTGATAAAATCAGATATCAGCTGGAAAAAGTTAACTGTATATATTCTGAAGTATGACAGTTAAATTCATTATAAATAGGCTAACAGTTATGATTTTGCTAGATTTTAAGACTATAGTTTCAGACTTGCAGGACTTTTTTTGCTCTGTATATAAGGGCACTTCTCATTTGGTCCCCAGAAAAGCACAAGCTGGCACAACAGTTTGGTAGATGATTCAGCAACCTGGTTTGCAATTTGTATGGAAAAATTTGATGGAAAATGTATGCAAATTACCCTGATGGGCTTTATGGTTAGCAGCATGAATCCATGGAAAACTTCAGTTTTTGGGAGATCCATGTGTCTCTAGAAATAGTCTCATCAAGCACATACATTTTGAGATTCCACTGTAAGCAGCAAGGCTCAGAGCATTTTCTGTAAGCTTACCTTAGACGGACAGCAGACATTCTGGTCACCTCAGAGGCATGCTAGAAAAGTACTGCTAGGTCCTCCAGCAATTTCTTAGGAAGTATACCTCAGTCTTAGAGCCAAATATAACAAATAGGAGACTACCTGGACTGCAAAGCTCTTCAGGTTTGTATCTATCACTTGCAATTATGAAAGGATATGCAAAAGATATGGAGTCATGGGATGTGTTCTGAACACTCGAACTGTGTAAGATTTTCTAGGACCACACACCTGTCTTTTGACATACAGCAGACTGTTTAAAGACTTGACAGGTCCCTCTTTCACATCTGCTATTTTCCCAATCGCCTCTTCTTCCTACATCCAGGAATGTATTACCAGTGTCCTCAGAGAGAAATGTTTGCCTTATCTTATTCAGAGTCACTTCTAAAGGACCACTTAGACCACTGCTAAAGCTAGTCAGAATTTCACCCACACAGTTCGAAACAAAATGCTGGTATTTGCTGGTTCTTTCATGAATAAGCAGCAAAACACTGGAGACCTCTGTAGTCTGATCCTGGAAACACCTAAAGGTAGCAGCTGATATTCTTTCCGCATGAAGGGCTCTGGGGAATCAGGCTCTTCCGACCTATACAGACAGCTGAAGCTACCTTTTAAATAACTAATCTACGTGCATTTTAAATATACTCTATGAGTAATCTGATAATACTATAAAGTCTTATTCCACTTCAACTGTACAAGTGTCAGGGGACTTGGAATGGGTATCATGATCCAAGACTTCAGAAGGTAACCACTAGCAACACATATGCAAAGCAAGGTTATATAACATGTCCCCACAGAACCCTCCCTCAGCCCTAACCTATTCACAAAAACAGAAGATTCATGGGGAGGGGAAAGGACAATAGAGACCATCTCAGGAGTGACAGAGTTTGTCTGGGACCTGGGTTAATGCCGGTTTGCAGAAATGAAACTGAGTATTCAACTCATGTAGAGAAAACTCAGCAACAACTCTTTCCCTGAGATATCTGGGTAAGAGCCACCTCTGAGCCTGCTGCAAAGCTACTGGGTGCTGCATATGCATCCCTGCTGCCCAGAAGATTTACTCTTCACCCGTTTATCTGGCTTAACTGAATTTCTTGAAAATACAGCCAGAGTCAGCATGGAATAAGGATTCTGGATTAGTATTAAAAGGCCATGGCTATTTTTCTCATGTTTGTGAAGTCAGTGGGGAATCTATGTGAATGATGCAGCTGTTGGCAGCACAGGCTCTGATTTGCTAGCAGCCAAGCATGCACACTGAGCTGTGCGCCAGTGCATTCTCTTGCCAGGATGTGGTGATCTCCTGAGGTTCCTTCCAGCCCACATGATTGATGGTCTGGATCTTAGTGATCTTTTCCAACTGTAGTGGCTCTATGATTCTGTGATTCAGTGTGACTAAAGGTAATATTTGCCTTCTTGTCTGCGTGGAGGCATTTGCAGTTTTCATTTTTTAGTTCTGCTGCTTCTGCTTTTTTGCATTCTGAGCAGAAACTCCGGATGCAGTGTTCTTATCTCTCAAATCTCTCTGCAGAATCAACGAAGGTGCAGGGCTCTGCTGCTCCTCCTTGTTTACGCTCTGTCCCTGCCTTCTGCGTGCAAAGGGAATAGTTCCACTCCCTGGATGATCACCCTACTCACATCATGCTGCCTTTTCCTATCATTGGAGATGGTAACTTGTGCAACCTTGCTTTCCATAGTGATTCTGAGTAGTGCCTAGAATCATAGAATCATTGCATGGTTTGAGTTGGAAGGGGCCTTTAAGATCAAATAACAACCCTGCTGCTACAGGCAGGGACACCTCCAGCAGGGACACCTCCCTCTAGACAAGGTTGCTTAAAGTCCAATCCAGTCTGAATGCTTCCATGGAGGGAACATCCACAACCCCTCCTGGCAACTTATTCCAGTGTCTCACCACCCTATCAATACAGAATTTCTTCCTAATATCTAGTCTAAGAATTATTGATATGGGCATCTCTGTTTCCTCATTTCTGGCTTCACGCGCTACAACAGCTCACTGCTTTCCAGCCCGCTTGCTCATTTACCAGTGGTACACATCCAAAAAAACACCCTGCTCCTGCTACACAGGAGAAGCAGCAGAAGATTCAACCCACTACCTCTAAATTCTGCTCCAACTTGCTGCTACCCCATGGGGCTAGGGTGGGGGCCTCATGCACAGCTTCCCCCTGCATGGAGTTCTACAGCAGTAACAGCACAGGCACTTTACCTCTTCCTAGTTGGCAGAAAAACGGAAAGGTAGGTGGGGAAGGAAGGGGACATAATCCTTAGCAGAAAGCAGGATATGAGTTTTCAGCCCCAGACTGACGAACCATTAGCAAAACCTTAGCACAGTAACAGACCCAAATTTTATCAGAATATTACCATCATGTTAACAATATTCATATGATGCATCGTGTGTTCCAACATTTAGTCTAAAAGGAAGATAGAGGGAGAGAGTGCATGAGGCAGAAAACCACGTTAAAGATAAGGTGATGCATCTTAGCTTGACTTGGGCCGTCATCTGCAGTTACTGCCTGGCAGCAAAGAATGGGAGAGAGGAAAACAGTAATTTCACCCAGGTGATGAAGTAAAATAGAAGAAAATCCCAAGTCTGGTCTTTGTGAGTTTTGCTGTGGATGAGGAAGCATTTGAAGCCTATCAAAACTAACAGTACAGCAGTTAGAATACAAAATGCTGGACATTTTCAAAATATTTAGGACACACTGTAACCCTAGAATGAGCATGGTATTTGAGCAGGACCAATTTTGTCCTCATCATGTTGGAACAAATGGGATTGACAAGTGTGCAGCCAAACTGAGATGAAATGAGCAGTAGCAAGAGTCTGAGATTACTGAAAATGATATGCTTAGAGACAAAATTGTGTTCCATGTGACTGACAAAAGGCTGGGAGAGAGGTTATTAGGGAAAGGGATCTGTGCTTGCAAAAAAGCTATAGACATATGGCAGGATGATAAAAGCGATAATGTCTGGGCAAGGTATTGAGAAGTTTGAACAAAGTGTCAGGCAAAGTAGCATAGAAAGTAGCAGATCTAGAGCTCAGCCACAGGAGAGCATGAACAAAACATGGAAATCAGCAATAGAGAGAAGAATATTTTGCACTCCTGGAAGTGTCCCTGCGTGGACGCCACCACTGTGCCAAAAAATCACAGGGACCCAACATCTGTGTCAAGGCCACAAGTGCCAAAAGTGGAGGTGAGATGTGGTAGGCATACTTTTCAAAACTAGAAGCTTTTTCTGGTGCTGGGGTTGACAGTGATCTCTGCTTTTGTAAAAAGAACCAACAAGATAACAAATGAGGATCTGTTGCCAGTTCATTCTGAAATGAGGAAACAGAGACACCCATACCACCAATTCTGAAAGTCATTGCCCAAAATCACATATGCACGATAATAATAATAAAATGGACTGTACCGTGTACCAAGCTGCAATCACAGGGAAAGGAAAAGGCATCAACATGAGACCAGAGGGAACAAAAATTGTATCTGTAACAGGCCAGAATAACTGAAGAATCCGTGTAGGAGCATCACTGTTTTATGAACCCTGCATGTTGTACAAATATCCATATGTAACTCCCCTAGAAGCTGGTAGAGCTAGGACACAGGGTACACAGCTGCTGGGATATCAGGTGCCAAGATTGCTCTTCCAGTCCTTTGGCAATGACTCCTATTTGCACTTCTTTTATTCTCACATAGATAGAATTAGCCCTCTTTGGGAGCTAATGTGTGATGGCTGTGACAGCTGGTGGTGACAAATCCCCCTCAGGAGCCACAAGACCATCGTTCACAATGCTGCAAAGGCACAGAAGACCAAATTCAGAAAGAGAGAATGAAAACCTCCAAGAGACATCAAGCCCATGAAAATATGGGTGGCACAATGCCTGGGACCCACCAAAGGCAATGCAATTTCTCTTGGGATAAGCAATGCTGAGCCACATCCTGGAGTCTGGCTTTTCTTCTCTGGTTAAAATCAATATCCTTCGAATTAGCAGGTTCCTCTGAGCAGTTAGGATGTTACAGGAAAGATACAGGAGCCTGTCAGTTGTTGACTACAAAATTCTGCATTCGCAGAGGCAGGGCTCTTGCTGCAGCAGGACAGTGCAAGTGTGTGGCCCATGGCTTCTGTCAGCTTTCAGGCAAGAGTCATGGCCTGCACTGCTCTGCTCCAGCTTGTTGATAGGTGCACTGGAACAGACCAACCGAAGCCTTGTCTTGTGCCCAAGTCAGGTTTTTAGGTGATGCAGGAAGGGGAAGCTCTTGAATCCGTTCTCCAAGCCCTACCAGATGTCCTTCCACTCCCTTCGGTGTGCCCACTTTAGAGCCTAGACTCTGTTAATTCTTATCCTTTTGCACTGCAGCCAATTAGTAGCCTGAAATGGAAACCAGCTGTGGAAAAAAGGCTCTGGTAGCAAAGCACCAAGCCTACATCTGAAAACACACAAGTACATAAGCCTGAGAATCAGGTGTATTTTCAAAGCTACATCATTTCTAATGAATGAATTTTCACAGGGTTAAAGCATAATCAGTCCTAAACCTTCCTTAGGCAAGCAGTGGGTACTTACTTTCACACGTATGCCTCAGAACAGAATTTTTGTTTCAGGGAGGATTTTTCCATTCTTATTACTAATTGTTCCTAATTTACATCCGATGCTTGCACCCCAGATTTGTTGGATTTTTCTGCCACATCTGTACCATGCACAAAAGTGATACAGAAAGCTACAGTCTGAACTGTGTCCGATGAGTGTTATTTAGATGCATTTAAGATTTTGTACATCTGGCTCAGCAATACAATTTAGCCTGGAGAGTGCTATGTTTAGCAAATCTACCTCACATTGTTATTAAGGAGCAAAATTAAATCTAAAATGGAGGCCTCAACACCCTACTTTTATATATAGCTACCACAATATTTTCAAAAAAGCTGTTCACAATAAAACTGGTACGAGGCAATGAGGAATTCTTTGTAGAACACAAGATCAAATGACAGCCATCTAGTTTAACCCCCACCACAACACTACAGCAGCTTTCCCAACCAGCATCCCCACTGTCAGCCTGCAGTACACAGCATCTCTTGGAAGCTGGAAGCTCAAGCTGAGAAAAAAGGCATTCTTCCACCACAAAAGCATGTGAAGATGGAGAATCCCTGTGAGCTGCTGGTCTACTTCCCCAGGCAGGAAGGCAGAGAACATCAGAGAACAGGCTGCCTCTGAGAGGCTTTAGCTCTGCCTTCAGGGAGCCCTTTGGCCCCATTCTCTCTACAGGGACCTTTCTCAGCTTGGTGGCACCACCCTGGATGTCTCAGTGAGGAACTTCCATGGTGATGGCTGTGCTCTGCCAGTCAGCTAGGGCCAGATCTTGCTCTAGGTCTGGATAGTCTCACAGGTCATTCTGGGGCTCAGCAGATCCTGGGTGAAATGGATGTGTAAGTCATGTCTGAGATGGGCACCCATAACCTAGCTCATTTGAGATCAGCAGGTTCCTTCAGAAAGCCAGGGCGGACAGGCAGAATTCTGTTGATGTAAGTATGCAGCATAAGTGTGAAAATAAAGTTTATCTGCTTTTGTAGTTGAACCGTCCTTGAGGTGCCTTTCACAAAAAAAAATAATGATCTTCACTTCCTACCAGTCCTTTATTGGCAGTTGACCTGTCATGAAATTAATTTTCTTCCTTTGTTTTATGTCACAGTGTCCCTTGTGGTAGTCACAAGTAAATTATGCGATTTCATCAGCATTGGAAATACGCCTTTCTTGCACATGTATTCAGCAAAGAGGTAAAAGTGGTAATACAGTCTCTTTAATATGACCTTGGCTTCCTATAAACTTTTACGTCTCTATTTTCTGTATTGTTATAGAAAAACAAACCTTTTTTATTGATACATCTATTGATACACATTTAGCAAGCATTGATCGATATCTGGCATCTTGAAAAAATCCATTCTCAAAAGCTTTTAGCCTCTGAACTTGTCTCTTGTTTGCCAGTTTGTATAATCAATACGTATTTTTGCTAGGAAACGAAAAGTATTGACTTGCCCGCAAGTGTATGAAGTAACTCAAGTAATTACTATTAAATATAATTTAGTAATTGTAGTAGGAGCCTTTCTGCTGCAAGGCAACCTATGTCAAAGTTTGGCAAGATGAATTAGAAAAGGAAAAGAAATCAAAGATAAAGAGTTTGTGTAATATTGTGTAACTCATTTTATTCCTTCCAGAATACTAGCATATGCCTCACACAATAAGGGTAATTCCAAAAAGCCAGAAATCAAAACAGCAGAGCCTGATTCCCCAGAATTGATGCTAAGCACAGAAAAAAGCAGAGAAAATTAGAACCACGAAAAGTGCAGATATATTTCAGAGAAGCTGCTACATTGAAAATTTAAGAATAAAAATGTTCCTTTGAGGGCTGTACCCCGCATCTACACTGTGAAGAACTTAAGCCTATATATAACAGCATCTCCTTGGAAGTTTCACAATAACTGTAAATTCTCTTCTGTAAATCTAATGGGTTGACTGCCATGAATTTGCCGCAAACTCTAGAGATACTGTGCTGCTTTGCAATGTATCTAGAACATCCCTCATATAAACACAAGACCAAAGGACCAGCCCTGCACCAGGTTTGCTCATGGCTGGAAGATGCTATGGAATCAGCAGCTGAGGATGCTGCTCACGTCTTAGCACACAATGTTTGCCATCCTGCATACTGACCTGCCATGAGAGTGGGATGGTGCTGAATGATGCCACCCTGACACACTGCCTGCAGCCCGGAAGTCAGCCCTGTATCTACCTGTGTGACCTGCAAAGAAAGCTTGGTCTAACATGGGCTGAAGTGAAGGCCTGGGATGACAAACACACTCCACTCAGCTCACTATGTTTTGCTTATCTCCCTCTCTGAGACAAACAGAAATCTACCATCCCATGAGCAGGAGATTAAATTAAAGACTGTCATGCACTGCTGTTTCATCTTATGATGCTTGTGTTTCCCCTTTCCAGACAGGCTCCTTTCCAATTAGTAAAGGCCTCACCAAGCAGAAGCTTGCTGAGCTTGGGCCCTGGCTTCCTCTGGGCTCCCACTCTGTGCTCTGGCCCATGGCACTGCCCTTATACTGCCCTGGCACCATGTAGCTCCCTGCCAAGGGAGCAAAAGCACTCTGCAGTGCTGTCAGCAACCTGGTCATGGATTTGCAATAACCTATTCAGCCTTTTTTGTAATTATTTGCCTGACAACTGGAGCTGAAGGATTCTCTTTGTTAAGGGAAGGGGAAAGGAAGACAAAAAGAATGAAAGAGAGAAAGAAAGAAAAAAAGAAAAAAATACACCCCAGCACAACAGGGTGATATTCTAATAATATGAAATGGATGTGTCAAAAAATAGAATACACCCACTGAAAATGAATATCTTTTAAAGAAACAAATGTTCTCAGCAGAAGATGAAAAGCTGCATGGAGTAACACACGGGAAGGCCAATAAATGAGTAATGGTTCCAGGGAAGGCAACCACTCCAGTATGAAGAGCATCTTCAGCACTCTGTGCGGCAGTCACACTGCTCTTCAACACAGAGCACATGAATTATGAACACTTGGATTTGCTCTGGGCATTGCACTGATCATCGGAAACCATGTCATTGTAGCCAGGTGAAAGCACCTGGTCATACAGACTCAGTATCACAGCACTTCTGTAGATATCTTCCACACCCAGATATCCAAAATACCTCACAAAATTAGACAAATGACTGAGATTCAGCTAGCAAAATTTAGTTCTGTGCCTCAGAAAGCATAAGATAATTTCTGATGTAGGTACCAACATGTTGGAAGACCATAAACCACACCAGTAGAACTGCACATGGAAAGAAGCCAAAAAAGTTTTAGGACTCACCACAGACAAAATTACATATAAACCCTCAGAGCAGTGTGATATTAAACCAGTAATTGAGTCTCCAGTTATGTGAAAGAGTGAGGTCATCTTAGCTCTCAGTACAGGTCTGATGAGTTCAGTATCAGAATCCTGTAAATTGTTCACATGCCTATACTTTCAAAGGGATGTTAAAAATATATTAGTCTATACTTTTAAAGGGGTGCTAAAAATAAATTGAAGTCACTGTCATGAGACAAGAAACTGAAGTTTGAAGGCAGCCTTACTGTGTAAGAGATTCAAGGAGCTTGAGCAAATAAATAAAACAAATAAAACAAACAAATAAAATAAAATAAAAGCTAAAAGATAGATTGTCTTGATTACAGAGTATAAGCAGATTGACACAGAAAATCACAAATTTTTAAAGGTATTTTTAATATGGATAGGAAAGACATACATAGACTCACTGGCTGGGAGTTAATGTCAGACAAATTGAAAACAGAGATCAATTTGTAATAGCAAGGATGATTAACCATTAGGACAAGACATTCCTGAAAGTAGTAGATTCCTATTTCTGCCTTCTAAAGGTATTTTTCAGTGGAGGGGGAGGGGGAAGGGGGAGGGTGTGGAATGCTTGTTCCACAAGGTTATGGTTCTAATACACAGTAAGAGATGAAAGCATATCATCTCTACTTGCAGCAGATTGCGCTGGATGTTTCGTCTGGCCTTCATCTCTGGAATGAATTGTAAAATACCTGATCTTATTGTGATAGTGAACGGAGTTTTGAAAGCAAGGAACAGACTTGCAAGATAAGTTTTATCTCAAAATGAACTTAAAGGCCACTAACAAAAATCCTGCACATTAAAAACAGATGTCCAAATTCAAAATAAATCTTTTCTTATTATTAATATTCCTGAAGAAATACAATTGGATCAAGTTGAATATCTTGTT